GTAAGGTGGGTTATTTGAATTTCAATCACTGCAGCTTGTAAGATCATAGACTGTACCACAGAAATGTAGGCTGAGAGGGACCTCTGGAGGACCTCTAGTCCTCGCTGGGTTGTAGCGAGGTGAGGTTGATCTCTTCTCCCAAGTAGTGATAGGACAAGAGGAAGTGGCCTCAAGTTGTGCCAGGGCAGGTTTAGATTGGATATTGGGAAGAATTTCTTCACCATAAGGGTTATCAAGCATTGGAACAGGCTGCCCAGGGAAGTGATGAGGCCACCATCCCTGGAGGTATTTAAAAAATGTGTAGGTGTGGTGCTTAGGGATATGGTTTAGTAGTGGACTTGGCCGTGCTAGGTTTACAGTCAGACTTAATGATCTTAAAGGTCCTTTCCAACCTAAATGATTCTATGATTCTAACCTCCTGTTCAAAGCAGTGCTAACTTCTAAGTTGAATAAGATTGTCCAGACCCTTGGTTAAACAAGCTTTGCAAATCACCAAGGATGGAGATTCTGCAGCCTGTCTTAAGCAGCTTCTTCCTTTTATTGTGAAGAATATTTCTTTATAGCTAACAGAATTTCCTTTACTGGAATTTCTGACCATTGCCTCCTGTCCTTTCATGGTGCACCCCTGGAAGAGGACTAGCTCTGCAAGCCACCATTAGGCAGCAGATGACAACAGTTAGCTCTCCCCTTTCGCAAGCAGGGAAATGTCTGTTCCTCCACTGAAGTTTTCCATTTTGAATAGATTTCTTGTGTTGTTTGTGTGACTTAAAGCTAGTCTTGGTATTCCAGATGTATGCTCCTGATGCCGAGTAGAAAGAAACAACTGCTTCCTTTGCCTGCTGGCTATGTTACTGCTAATGCAGCTGGGTATGTGGTTTGTCTGCATTGCTGCAAGGACATACTGCTGACTCACGTTCAACTTCTCCCTCAGATCGTTTTCTACAGAGCAGCAATACAGACAGACAGTTCCCAGCCGATCGTAATGCATGAGCTTATTCCCTCCCACATACATGGGAGTATTTGTTCCAGACACAAGAAACCTTCTGGTTATTCTGGCTTAAGTAGATTCACAGTTAAATTGCCATATTCTTTAAGAAAGAAAAAAACATCAAAACTAACCTGACGTCATTATAAACATTAATTTACTTTCTGTTGAGGATTTCACATTTATTAGAATTACAAGTACATCATAGCAAAGAGATTTTTACACAAAAAGGTGTTGATAGCAATTGATTTTGGCTATGTGGTCAGGCAATAAAAAGGACCCTTGGAGTGTGCAGCTTTGTACAGCAAACAGACTACAAATGTTAAGTATTCTGCACTATTTGGATCGAAATGTACCATGGCTACAGCATCCCATTCGATGTAAACAACAAATTCTTCCAAAGAGTTGCTGCAGGTGTCAAAAAATTAATTCACCGTTAGCACTATTACAAGGACTTAATTAATTCACTGTTTCCACAGTTATCAGGGAAAGACTGTGAATATCAAGTGTATTTTTTTTTTTAACTAAACATACTCTCAGGTGATTGTTGTTTTCAAATGTCGGCTGTAGCCAGATCCAAGTATGTAAGTTCTCGGACCTGGAGTTCTTGGACCTCCTCTCCTTGCAGAGGAGCCTTCTTCCTTCCACTGTGTTTCTTGGCAGAATCCTATTATGCAGCTTCCTAGACAGCATCAATAGAAAGTTCTACTGCTTGGAAATCATACTAATGTGATTACCCAACAATTGAATCAGGGATTTAAAAATCTTCTTTATGTGGTTTTTTTATATTGTCTATCTGCATCCATTTATCTCAGCAATGAATTTATCATGACTGGACTGACATGTCCTTTGCTGTAAATTAATACAATGGTATTTGCACTTTGAGATAAGGGCATGCTAACAGATGAAAAGAAACTAAGTTGCCTTTGAATATATGACAATTTTACAGCGAGCTACTTAAAAACAGACGAGGACCAAATTCTACACTTGTTATGATCTTGCTGATGATAATTTCAACAAAGTCATAAGACTTTCCTCTGTGTGTGTGGAGGGGGATCTGTTTTCATAGAGAATATTAGTCCTGAAAGAAATAAGCATTCTATTTACACATATACAAGAGGTTTCAAGTCTTCCAGGAAATCTGTTTGAAAACTATTTACAGTATTAGTATGCAAATTATATACTACACACTAAATGAGAATCTTGCTGCAGAGCACTCTGACAGCCATCTCACTACTTGAACTATGGCAGTCCAGTTAAAAAAGCAACACAAAAAGAAAACACAGCTGGATATAATTGTATCCAAACACATACTTATCATGTTAATGGGGGCATATGAATAAAATGAGATGTTGTCCAGCAAAGGTTTTCCCACAAAGACTCTGAGTTATTTTAGCAAAATGTTCAAATAATGCAAGCTTTTGTTTGTTGTAATTGAAAAGATGTGTGATATTTATTCCTAAAAATTGACAGACGAAGTGTGGCAGCACCAGAGAAACAATAAATCCCATCTCATATCAAGTATCATTTTAATAAATAGTCTTCAGTTGACAAGAAAACATGAATTATGACCCTGATTACAGTGGGTACTTTCGATCATATAATTTAAATCAAATTATGAGAACGGTATTGTATAGTGGTAGTAATATATGTCTTAAACTCCTGTTGTTGTCCTAGGTGGTCAGAGTAGTGATACACCCTTTAGCTGCCTTCGCTTTTGCACTGATGCTTCGCTGCTGGACCTTCCTGATGCTGCTCTCCCATCAACATCCCTTCAGCCACACTTTGGTCCAGGTTCTCCCCTCACAGCCTCTCATGAGTGCCCCATTGAAGTATCCCACAGCATCTTTACTTCAACGTGAGAGGTTTTAAACAGCCAGGTCTCAACAAGAACCCACTAAATGCTGTAGAAGGTCAGCACAGGGTTGGGCCTCTTTCCAACCAGCAAAAGCTTTGCCCTTGTTTCATTCCTAAAAAGCTTCTAGAAATTTCTTGTATGTCCCTCACATCAATCTTCACAGTTACCTGGGCAAGGTGCTAGATCTATTCATACCAATTTACTGCTAGTGGACTTGAAATCTTTGAAAATAAGAGGTTTCAGATGAGGTTTATGCCTTGTTGGGTTCCCCCCCCCCCCCTTTTTTTCCCCCTCTCCAGTTTTAGGATGTGCTTTTAACAAACCATAACTGAAAACTAAACAAATAACAGTTTGTATCTTATGTAAATGTTCCTACTATTCAAATGATTGTATTCAAGGGCTGTATCTGTATAGTGGTAGTGATATCGTAAAGGCCATATCTTCTACACTGTCAGTTACTGCCACAATCCTAAAGATGCATTGTTTTCTTTTTAACTTTATACCTCAGTATAATGCCCTGTGAAATTGCTTTCTGCCTTTAGATTGACCATCATGCAGAATTTTGTATTTTTCAGCCTGTCGTCTTTGACTTACAAGCTGTTCTGAGTTAAAAAATTACTCCTTTTGTTCACAAGTACAAATTGTACCTTCCCAAATCCAGCTCGATAGGCATGTCAGATGCAGTCTTTAGAATGTTATCTAAGTGCCTATTTTTATTCTTAGTGATGATGAACTGTTTATACTGCAAATGTAATATGATCAAATGCACATCCATGTATTACTTTAAAATAAAAACTTATTTACTAATTTGAAAATCATACTGGAGAAAAAAAATCAGTTTGTTATTTAAAATATTTTCCAGAGGTAAAGTACCATTGGCCTGTTTAATGAAATGTATTTGTTTCTTGGCTCTGCCTATATAAGAAATATTTAAAATTTTTGTCTGAAGATTTACAGCCACATCAAGCATTTTACATTATGAGAAGAAGACAAAGCTTGTATCATTAGTGTGACAAAAAGTCCAGCTTGGTTGTCTGACAAGTAAATTCTACATCTAGTGCTCCCATTTAAAACACCCAACCTACTTTAACTGAAAATCTGCTCCCCCGAGAGAGCAGCTTTTGTACTTCCCACTCTCGGTGGCAAATGTAATCCCTCTAAAATCAATAGATAAATCTCACCTGAGACCATAACACTTATTATTAGTTGTTTCCAGCAATGGGTAAAGAACAGATTCCTGCACAGAGTTCATACTTAGAGGCAAGTGTCAAAGAAAGATGACTTAGGAGAAACTAGAGGCCTTGTGTCCTTTGGGATGCTACAGAGTTGTGAGAATGAATCTTTGAAGGCCAAATCAGATGTGTTGAGAGTCATTCTGTTTAGATTGCCAGTCTTCTGGTTAGGGTGCTGAAGCCTGTTTTGGTTTTGTTGTTTGGGGTTTTTTTTCTTTTCTGAAGAAACAAATTCCATTTTGGCACATTTTTTTTCATCTTTTTTAAAAAAAGGTCATCTTTAAAAAAGTGTCCCAAAACCAGATGCTCCTGAAGGGAACCTGGAGTTCACAGCTGAGTGGGTATTGCACAATTATTTTGTCTCATTAGGTCAACCGTGCTTCTTAGAAAGAGAGCTAGAATGCACATTGTATGGCCTCCTTGGCAAAATCAAAGCAGAAACGTGATTTCTTTCTGTTATCTCGAGAATTTATTTCATTTAAAATTCACAGTATCATGAGCTCTAAGTGTCTCACTCTAAAATTCCAAAATATTGCCAATAGCAATGTAATTTGAATTATTGCCTGTCTGTGCTGCAAGTGTGTCTTGTAATACCCATTTGGATATTTTCTGCTTCTCTGTACATTGCTTTCAGTACTTTCAGCATAAAGATATACAGTAAAACTTGTCCTGAAAACCATCATAGTTTGCAGCAAACAAGGCTGAATAGCAGAAGATTCTCTCTTACAATAAGCCAAACAAAATGGTATATGAGATGTTTCCTTAGACTATATGTGATTTAGGTTTTAGGACATCAAGTTATTATATGCTTCTGGTTATTTATTTCCTTAGCCTTACAGACTGAAGTGGAGTATCTCAATGAAAATACTATGGAGTTCCTTTGCAGATTTTATCCTTGTGCTTTCCCTTCTTTTTCTTTTAATAGCCTGGATGTGTAAACACTACTGAAGTGGACATAAAAAAATCTTCAAGAATGAGAAATCCACATAAAACAAGAAAGGTAAGTACTGTTATTACATCAAAAGCAGGAGGTGGAGATAATTTATAGCATGAAATTCCATAGTTTATTAAAACATTTTTTTCTTACAGCTGTAAAGAACAAATTCATGAATGTATGTTATTATTTCATAAACTCTTAAATGAATTTGAATTAACAAATCTGCTAGTACTAAGTACATGCTATCACATATGAAAGACTTTGGAGAAATACGCAGAGAACATGAAAATAAAAATAATTTTTGTGTGATTTATTCATGTTGTTTAGCAGAGTGAATAAAGCATGTTAAAATGTTTCTGTCAGTAATTAAAGAAAAATAAATTAAAAATGCAGTGTAAATTATAACAGCAGTTCTTCTTGTGCTGGTCTTAATGAAAAGGATGTCTCTAGCTTACAATCATAGCCCAAATGGATGACCAGAAGTTGTGGAGGAAATTGGTTTAATCTAAATTAAGATCCAGACATAAACAGTGTAAATTCTCTAGGCATGCGTACATGGATTAGAACAACATTTTCTTTCAAATTCTTTGTATCATAGTAATGTAGATTGACTCCAACTTCAAAGTACTTCCTTTGAGGTGTATGTTTGTGTCAATCCATGGAAAAATGTGTTTTTAAAAAGTGGATTTAGAGAAAGTTTTAGCTTAGCTTATTTATGATAGTGAAAGGTCCAGATTAGCGTAATTTACCAAGCAATAATTGCAAATTTGGGAGTCATCCAAATAATCCATTGTGATAGTCTACCTTTCAGGATACTGTTTCTTCTTTTCCTACCAGTCATCTCCACTTTCTGTAATAGCTGCCCTTCAGTGTCACCCCCCATGTTTACTATGCTGTTAATATAGAGACGTAATAAAAGCAGATCCTGTGTTCTATGGCATTATGAAATTGTGGGGTTTGGGAGTCTTTTACGCTATGGTATAGAAGCCCAATTTTACCTGAGTGCATGGCTTATTTGCAGTTTCTTTAGAAAAAGGTGATCTTGGCTAACTTCTTGAGCACACTATACTAAAACATCACAGTTACTGTGGGTATGTGTAGAAAGCAATGTCTGAAAGCAACTATCATTGTTCCATATTTTTTACGTAGTCTGTCTATGGCTTACAAAACGACATTCGAAGTCACAGCCCTACCCACACACCAGTACCAGAGACTAAGCCACCCACAGAAGATGAACTGCACCAAGAGGTTTGAAAAATAACTACACAAATGTACTTTTAAATTAACTTTTTAGGAAAGTAGGTATTAAACCAAAAATTATCGTAACTGGGAAGTTGTTCAGAACAAAAGGTTTAGCAAACCTTTTCCTTGTTTCAGAATATATTTATTTAGGTATGTAACTTCTATTAAAACTAATGGGACAAAACCTGACAATTTTTGCATCTTGCATTAAAGGCAGTTAGTAGCAGGCCAGTTACTGGGTTCTTTGCGTAGCTAAACCCATTAGCCCCTTTAGCAGTAGATAGCTTGCTCTTCCTTTCAACCCTGATTCAAGGTTTGAGGGGGTACTTACCTCTCCGTGTATGCACGCATGGGTTCACACATTTATCTACTGTTAATGCTTCATTACTCTTTCCTTAGGTGTTAGAATTGGGAGAAGGTAAATGTCTGAACCTGAAATGTAGTTCTCTCCAAAAATCTAAAAAAAGACTAATTGGCTTTCTGTTGATGAACCTTTAGGGAAATTGTTATATTGAGTCTTTTTTTTGTCTCTGTATGATCTTTTCTCTTTGATGGAAAATTCCATTTATTTTAGAACTACACTGGTGAAATGTTGTTTTAACTCAGATATATTTCTCTTCTGTGCCCTAGGATAAAATAAGGTTAAATTACAGCCTTAATAAAAAAGTTATGGAAATAGAGTCAAGCAATGAATTACTCATAAAACTCTTTGCCTTCCTTTCTTGCAGATTAAGCACTGGCAAATGCAATTAGACAGACATAGATTAAAAATGTCAAAAGTTGCAGAGAGGTAAGTATATTGTCACATCTTCTGGGTTTTTAATTAGACTGATAACTATTGGGAAAATGTCAGTATGAAATAACTTCAAAGAGAGAGTCAAAGGAACTCAGGTGTTATAGAAATAACTGATGAGAGTTGAGTTTAAGCAGGAGGTATGAAGTTTTTTTATTGACAAAAGATGTCCCAAATATTCCATGATACATTTCTGATAAACCCAAGAGCCACTGATAGAGCCTCTGACTAAGTGGTCACAAGTTTCACCTTGCGTTTGCAAGGAGGAAATGGAAAATAGGTCTGGGGTTACTGTTCTGATATTTCAAAAGGGCAATCACTGATAAAACAAGGGAACTGATCGGCAGAGCTGGCTAGGTGATGAGCTCGCTGCTTGAACAAAGTGAGTCTGAGCTTACTTCGGGTCAGAGGATGTAATGCTAGTACGAATCTTTCTCCAAATAAGACCAAAATTTGTCAGGAAGGGGCTAGAAAGCAAAAAAACCCCAAACCCTCCCTCAGAAAGACTAATTACAGCTTAGGTAGAGAAGAGGTAGAGAAAAGGAATGCTCTATCTCACACATCAAATACAGAGAGAGTGAAAATTGCAGAAAATTGAGCTGCATAAGACTTGGTAAAGGAAATTAAGCCTCTCGTACGCTTGTGCGTGTGTCTGCTTATATATGTGTATGTATGCATACACATACAAACACATATAAGTATATATTTATAAAGAGAACAAGTTAAGAATTTGTGTTTGCTGAACAGTAAAAATAGAATACAGACTAAATATAATAGAAATGAAAAGAAAGAATATTTGTCCTCACTTGTCAATGAGGCAAAAGGAAATGGAAAGTGGGAATAAGGACATGGGAGATGTAAATTACCAGAACACAAGCAAAGTTTTTAGTGTGTTCAACTGAGTCAGACCAAGTCATGAATACCAAAGAATTTGGAAAAAAAAAATAAATTGGGTATTTCTGGAAAGCAATAAACTTGGGAGTAGTGCCATTTGATTAGGAAATAATAAAAATATTAACAGTATTTAAAAGAGGAAAAAAGGAGTCCTAGCAGCTGCAGGGCCAATAAATATGACCTCAGTAGCATGCAGTGTTTTAGAACAAATTTTAAAGGAACTAATAGTTAAAACCATAGGGGTATAAAACATGTTCCTTTATGAAAGCAAATGTGCATGGAAGACATTGCTTTATTTAATGTATTAGTGCCTAAAGGAGCCTTAAAAGAAGTTATGTGGAAGTATTGGGGAAGTTTGTAGTTTATTTTATTTCAGATCTTGATAAAACCTGAGCCACCACTCCTTCTTCAAGGGTCCGCTTTTAAAAGGCTTGAGCAAACCTATTTTAGCCTGAGCTTGTAGCTGACCTCTGAATGTGTGCACACTTGGTTACCATGGTTCAGTTAATGCAAGGTAACTTGTTAACTGGGGTAACCCGGTCAAGTTTCCTCACCTCCTGACATGACAATGTTTGATGCTTTTGTTTTCCTAGTCTATTAGCTTATACAGAGCAGTATTTGGAATACGATCCTTTTCTTGTGCCCCCTGATCCCTCAAACCCTTGGATATCAGATGATACCACTTTCTGGGAACTGGAGGCAAGGTATATAATTTTATTTCTTCTTTTGGGGGAAGGGGGCATAACAGGCTTTTCCTGAAAAGTGTAGATTTCAGACAGAGGTATTGCAGTAAAATACTGAGGCAGAAGGGCAATGCAGCATCCTTTTGGTCTTTCCAGTTTTACAGTTTCGTAAGACGGGAAGAGCTATGGATCAATAAATCTGTGTAAAAAGTTACAGTAACCAGATTCCAGGGTTTCAGTAAGGGGAAAAAAAAGATAACTTTTAAAATCTGGTAACATTTTGTTGTTGGAAGTCCTTATTCTTCTGCGTAAATGCATGCGTGTTACCTCCATCCTGTTCAAGTACTAACAGCCTGGTTGCTCATCTCTGAACACTCCCCAGATATGTGCAATCTGGAAGGTGGGAAATCCGTGGTTGAACTTTAGGACTTAGTCTAAATTATGAACACAGTATATGAGAATACTGAAGTGGGTTGTGTTGTTTTTTCTTTTGTAGCAAAGAGCCAGGACAGCAGAGGGTGAAACGATGGGGGTTTGGCATGGATGAAGCTTTGAAAGACCCTGTGGGAAGAGAGCAGTTTCTCAAATTCCTGGAGTCAGAATTCAGTTCAGAAAATTTAAGGTAAATGAGAAGGACTTTATTTTTTAATAGGTTGTAGGATACATTGGTTGGGTATTTTTGTCCGATTCCTTTCTTTTCATTTTTTGACGCCTTCAAAAATTTTCGTGTGTCCTACCTCTCAGAATCCGTTCATGCCAATTGCTGCCTGCTCCCATATTCAGGCTGAGGGAAAGATTGATATAGTTAGCAGAGACTCACATGAAGCATATTTTCACATTCATGACCAACTTTTGGTCAAACTACCCAGGTAAGAGCTTTTATCTCAGCTCCTTTTATTAAACAGGTTTAAAACACTGACCCATTCAAATTCTGTTCAGTATCTTTTATTAAGTCCAATATTATAAGAACAGTAAAATTAAAAAAGATAGTTTGTTTAAAAATAAATAAAGGATTTAAAAGTAAAATTCACAGACTTTCACTGTTGATCAGGTTTCTGGGAATCATTGGTCTTTTGAAAATCTCCACCAAGATTCTAGTACTCGTGGATCTGACACAACAAAAGTAGTGTGACACAAGTAGTGTGTATGTTGACAACTTCTTTAGTAACAGGTACAGATTGTTTTTTTTAATTAAAAAATCCAAGTGGTAAAATGAAATTTTTTAAATCAGAATAATACCAAGAGAAGGAAAGGTAATTTATGTATGTAAAGAGCATCCTGCCAATTCCTTATGCAGAGCAGCTGTTCAAACATGAACCTATCCAGCCCAGTGTGTGCTGCAGTTTCTATGCTTCTCTATGATTAATTTGTCTCTCTGCCAACTAGACTGTTACCCGCATAATCCCTAGCTCTTTCTTCTAATCTTATTTACAACACTAACCACAGGCAAACTGCAAGTGACTGATCCAGAAAAATTCCCTAGAGAAATTTGTTCAGAGCTGATGCCTTGGTATGCCATCTACTCTTCCATCGCTCTCTCTAGATTCTTATATTGGCATTATAAAATATAGTATCAGAGCAACAGTGGATATGAGCTTAAAGGCTCTCCCTGGGAAGGATCAGGCAGGGGATCAAACTTGCATTGAAAAGGTGCTTTCTGTGATGATTAACTGAAGGAAAACTGTCTTGCAAGCTCAAAATTATGTTTATGAATTCTCAAACTGTAGAGAAATCCATCCACTGTTAGGCTCACACAGTAAAGTCAGGTTAGAAGGCATGAATTTGTAAAAGCTTATTGTGCATGGGAGTCAAAATGTTATAGATCTCAGTGACAGAAATAAAAAGCTTGATGGTTTCAAGCATTATTGCTGAATAAACCTCAAATTTAAAAGACCACCAACTTCTTTGCTCACCTGTTAACCCCATTGTGGTAATTTGGGTTTTTGTGGTAGGTTCTTTGGATTTGACAACCACCTTGAGAAAAAGATCTATTTCCACCCACATCTTCCCACTGCAATAAAGTGAATGCAAGTCAGTAGCTGGCTCTTGTCCTTTTATAGATCTAAACGTGACAAAATTTACAACAAGCACCATCAAACCTACGGTGGGATAGACAGCTTGGACCCTGGATTCAAGCTACTAAGTGCAGTACACAGGATACAGCAAGGGACTGCAGACACTACAGAGAGATTCAGTCTTACTTGATTAGAAATCTTATACCTTGCTTTGGTGAAATAAATACCAAAAATGTGAAATTATAAGTCTACCAGATACACCATTTCTATTCAAGTGTGATTATCTTATCAAGTCCCAGTGTTACTGTTCCATTAACTTGGACGGAGAGTGTCTAAGCTGGCCGAGAATCTCATTCTCAGTGGCTATAGATCCTGTCTTAAGAAACAGAACAGGGATGAAGAAGCTTGAGCCGTGAGTTAAAACTAAAAACTATGCAATGACTAGGAATGCAACCAGGCTTTTTTTACTTTGCCTTTAAATTGGGATTAATAGTATTTCACTCTCTAAAGGAGTGTTGTAAAGCATAGCATATGTAAAGGAATAAAACTGTCTCAGCAGTTCTGTGAGTGCAGTAGCTTCATTACAGTGTGATTGCAGTTTGCTAACACCCAGGCTGGATTCTGCATTCACCTAGCACAGGCCATGCCTTGTTACCATGCAGATTTTTTGGAGGGATGACTTTGCATGCTGCTCACAACACAGAACAAATAGCTAAAGTAGCATATGATTTGGAGAATAGATTTATAAAGATCCCACTGCCTATTACAAAAATGGTGACCATTGTTTAAAATTCACAAGACTTAAGTTTGAGCATGATCCAATACTACTTAGCTTAGTCACAAGGCTGTCCAACCACTGAAAAAGGACTTTTCAAAGACAGTGAGATACTGAAATGAATCTTACTGCAATGTGGCACCTGGATACCTAATTTCTTTCATCCCTGTAGAAAATTCCGGTTCCTCTCTATATCCTTCCTTTGTCTGTAGTGCTGCAGCATTCTTTGGAAAGTTAATATTCATATGCTGACTGTACGTTTGCTCCCAAGTGGTTGTTTTGTAGGAACTGCAGCCTGTAAAGATCTAAATGGTTTCAGACCTGCCAACCTGAAAGCCTGTCCAAGTCATTATGCAGCATTGCCGTAGGTGTGATATCCAAGAGAATGCTAAGACTGCAAAAGCCTCCTAAGGTTAGTGAAGGGAGTGTGGTGACAGGACATCTTCTATCATACACAGAAAGAAAAGCTGCTGGACCCCTTGCCCCTTCCTTTGATCCTCCTTTATTAGCTTCCACAATGGCTGAGCAAATAGGGAAAAGTGGCTTTGAGTTCTAGTTGTCCAGAAAAAGAAGAGAGGGACTGAGGAGTTAGCTAGATTTAGATGTTTTCTCGCAATAAACTTTCTCTGACCATCGCCCTGAAAGCTGAGATTTTGTGAGGTGTTTATTTTGGACTCATCCATTGAAGTTGTTGTAGAAATGTTCTGTACTGGAAATAGAGGCTTCAATTATGTCCCGTAGGAAAAAAAAAAAAACTACCCACAAAAAACCAAAAACAAAACAACCAAAAAAGAAACACATATACACTAATAAAAATTTGCAGTGTTGCCTACAAACTGTCTCAGTCATAGTGCTTAATTTTATATTGAACTTACTTCAGTGGTTCTGGTTATTCTTTTAATAACACCATAACAGCGCTTTTACTAGAGAAGAGGGAGTATGGTGCAAGAGGTTAAGTTTTCTTTTTAATCCAGCCTGTTTCAATTTTTTGCTCTCTATTACTGATCACCACTCTTGATGACTCTAAGTGCAAGACATTTCTGGCTTCACTGATGGTGGAGGAGAGAGTTCCGCACGTTACAAAGGATGAAGATGGATTAACTGTCCTTGATGTCTGTCCTGCAAGTCTGAACAGAAGTGTTGGTAATGACACTTTCCCACACAGTATGGGCACTGGTAATGTTTATCCTTCACACTGTTGATTAGGAGACCCTGTTTTGGGTGCTAATAACTTGATCAAAATTTAATCCTCAAGGTTGAAATTGCCTGTGCTTTATTTCTCATTCAGACTCAAGCTTAAACTCCAAGTCCTAGCAATGTTGCATTTCTGCAGATTAGATGAGAAGGAACTAGTTGCAAGATGGTTTTCTCTGTCATTTTCTTGACGACCTTCAGCACTACTATGTCTTGAAGCTCGAAGTTGTACTTGGCAGAGAACATGGACTCTAGGAATCAGAGAACAGTCTTTCCTGCCCCTAGAAAAATGTTAGCTGGTTTTGTCCATGGAGTTTGTTAAGGTTTTTGTTTGCTTTTGCTGAAAACACTGAAAGGTCTGTCCTCCAACCTGTTGTGTCACACGCAATGGGTGCAAAGCCCACATAATTTCCACTTCACTGTCTCCACACTCTGCCTAAACCTCACTCATTTTGTGGCAAGTCACTGCAGCCTTTCTCTCACTCTGTGTTCCTGTGTGCTAAATTTAACTGATTAGCTTGATCTGGGATCTGCTGATGGCTGCATCTGACATTTAGGTCAGTTAATGGGACAGAAGCCATGTTGCAGCTGTGCTATTTATCTGGCAAGGCCACCCTCACTTTGGAAGTAATCCAGCTGGAGGGCCTAATCCCTAGATGTCTTGCAACATGTGTCTTACCATGTCTGGTGGCTGGATGTATGACAACCGTATGCTGTACACTGTCACTCAGCTATACGTTTGGTGTGTGATCCAGCGTGTGGCAGCCCAAATGCTGTGACAGAAGACAGCAGCAAGGTTTACACCCAGCTACTCAGGTCTCTCTTCAAATGTACCAAGCATCTTCTGGAGATGGTCTCCATGGCAAATGAAACCTCCACCAACAGGAGATGGAGAGTTTCATCCAAGAGCAGAGAGACTGAGCTCTAGTTCCTTTCACAAAGTATCACTAGTCTGTGTATATCATTGTCCAGAAAATGCAGTTGGGTTCCCCCTCTCCCCTCTCCTGCCCTTGCACATGTATACTGTTGCACACTCCGTGCTGTTACAGCAGTCTGCTCCTGCTCTGGTCACAGCTCGTGAGGCAGAGCGCTGCAAAAGGGGACAGGGAGCATTTCTAATTCGAGGCCTTGTGCTGAGGTCTTGCAGACTCCATTTCAACTTCATCTGTGCTATTGGTTGCCATGGGATATTTGGAAAAGTTATTTTTGAAAATGCAGGAGGCGACAGCCTTATTTTTGGCATTTCTTAACTTTGCATATTTGATTTTTACCTCTCTGTGGGAGAGGGCTGGCGTTTTTTCTTGAAAGATCAGTTAAGTAGATTAAAATGTTAAAATGTGTGTTGGCTGTGAAGTAAGCATCCTAGACACAGCATATCGCAGAAGTCAGCATTTTTCTTCCCACTTTTACAGAGGTTTCTATACTTAGAATCTCACATTTTCAATAGGGTTTTTAAATGCTAATGTTAAAAGAGTAAAATAAAATTAACCTATGAAAGAGCTGGTGTTCAGCCTGTAAGGATGTGTCTATACAACCTGCCTATTCGATGCTGAAAGCTGAATGTTTCCTCAAAGAAGTTAATTTTATCTCCCATCTATTTCCCCATAATTGAGTATAACCTACTATATAAAAACAGTTTACTTGCAAATGAAAATAGCATCCTAGGGCATGTTTGTGATGACTTCCATGAGTATTGGCAGTGATATAATGGAACAAAGAAGGATGTGACAGCTTTGAGCTAGATCCTTAGGATGTCTACAGGATGATAGAAAAAGTGTGTTTACAAAGAACATCCTTTCCTTTCATTTTTCTATTCCTTACCTGACTTTGATACACATGAGTAATCAGTCAGTCCCAGAAGATGCATTTGAACGGGTTAGCACTGCAGGATATACACTTTCAAATGCAAATATCAAAAGCAGCTTAAGGAAACCAAAGTACGTTGCCCAAATCTGACAGACTGAAGTGAATTAGAGTTTGTGAGCTGTGCAGTTTTTAAACTTAAGTTATGAGGTCTCTATACTTACTGCAATGCCATCATATTCTCAGGGTGTGTCCCCAGGCTCTGTGCAGTTCAGTTCACATTGCAGTTCGTAGAGGTAAGTAATGCTACCCAGGATTTTTGAAATGGAAGTTCTTCTGTTGGCATAGACTCCCTTTATGACCTTGGAGAAACAACTGTAGATTATCACATTATTAATATATTTGCAAAACTGGGACAATATTACTTCTCTGTCTCTTGCAGAATCTTAAGGGATCAATAGACAGAAAGATTGTGCTTAGATACTATGGAAATTGAAGGATGTAGAAACAACTAAAATAGTCATCTCAGTAGGGTGAAGCTGACCCTAATGGTTTGTCAGCAATGAGCACAGGCTCCTTCTGTATGTGCTACAAAGGAGTTTCAAAATAAGACTATGAAGGACTAATTGACTCCTGGAAGGTAAATCATCTCAAGTGAAGAAAGTCTTATAAAAGGAATACTTTAACGTTTTCTTTGCTATGCTTTACTATCCTCTCTTAAGAGTTGTTGCAATAACTATATTAGAATTTGCATTGAGGTTGGTATCATTTTGCTTTCTTGGGGGGTCTGAGTGTAGTTCCACTGTTCCTCTTCCTTACCCCATCCTTGTTTTACTGAGCTAAGAGAGCTCAGTTTGATCTCACAGTTACAGCAGGATGGAACCACATTTTAAAGGTGCACCCGAATTATTGGTCAGCTTTTTAAAATCCAACTTGTTTCACAGTTAACTCACTTCAAGGTTCAGCTTGTCTGTTTCATAAATGCAGCCATGTCAAAACAATAATGAAAAGTCGCAATGGTATATATTACATATTTAACAAAGTCAAACTTTAATTGAGCTCTCGAGGAGGCGGGAGAACTAAGTGGTCTGCACGATGTCTAAGCATGAAATCCTAGTTGAATTTAGAATTATTTTGTGCAGTGGGAGAGTCTGAACACCTATAGAAGAAAATTATAAAACAATCATAATAGCAAATGAAAAGTGATTATTGAAGCTTATATCTAGCTAGCTGTGATCATAAAGTGCTCGAGTCCTTTTCAGTGATCCTGCTCCAGACTGAGAAGGGTACAATGAACTGGCCTGCCCTGTATGTGGCTGCTCAATGTTGGTTTTCTCAGCCACAGAAAAGAAGAGAGAATGGGTACTTCCATTCAGCATTTTAGTAAAAATGTGCATAGAAATGCAATGCTGAAGAAAGAAATTAAATTAGAGCAAACAAAACAAATGCTTTTCCAGTTTATACATGATTTGTGGAGTAATGGTAACAGAATTACAGTTCCATAGTTTATAGTTTAGCAGGGCTTGGAGAGATCCATGCAGATAGCAAGAACATTAAGTTCTTATTAGATCTTGAAGGAATGTCAAAAAGCAATAGATTTATAAGCGATACAAGTCCTTGTGGTTCAGGTGAAATAAAATCTCGGTTTAATTCCAGATAAATGAAAACCTTCCATTAAGCAAGTTACCCATACATAAGTAACGAAGGATTTCCCACCTGTGTCATAGAGAGGCTTGTAATTATTATTTCTTAAGGTGGAATGATTGCCTGAGACAGTATACCAGAATGCTAATCGCAACATAAAATCACAGATTTTTCTTATTTTAGCATGTTTTAGGTGAAAACTTCAGTTACTTCATTTTTTTTAAGAACAAAGAGAAGTGTGGGCACTTCATTAATGATTATACCAAATTGGAAGTCAAGATGCTATATTGTGCCATAGGTTCTGGTTAGCAGTAGAAGACCTGAAGAAGAGGCCTATCCGTGAAGTTCCTGCTCGCGTCCAAGAAATCTGGCAAGAGTTTCTTGCTCCAGGTGCACCCAGCGCTATCAATCTAGATTCAAAAAGTTATGACAAAACCACGCAGAATGTGAAGGACCCTGGAAGATACACATTTGAAGATGCTCAGGTCAGTTTGCAATCCTGTTTAGGATCATTTGAAATAAAATATTAGCTATTGAAATCTCTATACAAAAAATAAGGTATATTTGGGAATGAAATGGTAATGTTGTTTCCTAAAATGCCATTTTGGCAATGCCAATGGGTAACATTCCCTCTTTCATGAGGCCTGTGAATTACTAAAGTGCTTCATGAAACTTCTGTGCCTGGTGTGGAGTCTTCAAGTGAACTTCAAACAGAGCAAAGCATATCGTGCAGTGAAACTTATATTTTCATGTTCCTGTTTTCTTAATTTTCTTATTCAGTTACATTAAGAGAAAAGCTTCCCTCTGCCCCCCATTGATTTCTAGTTCTCAAGATCTGTCTCTGAAAGACTCCCCTTGTTATAGGCTCAATGTCTGTTCTCTCAATGCATGTCCAAAAGGGTTGTTATCGTTTACAGGAGTCATAGGTTCCCATCATGAAAAGAATATGACCCGTGTGAGAAAAAACACTTTGTAACAGCTTGTGCAGAAGTATCATATTCCATGGGTGTTGTATGTTCTATACCTTATTAAACTACTATCTAAAGATCTTTGGGCAAAGATCCTAAAGATCTGCTCTTCACTAGTGAGTACTACAGCAGCAAAGAACAGTCTGTAAACGTCTTATTTGGCTTTTTGGGATCTGATTTAGTCACAATTTGAATACCATCACCAGAAGATACTTTAGACCAGAGCTAGATTTGTGAAAACACTTACATTTTTGAGATTGGAAGTAAAAGTTAAAAAACCAAAACAGGAAAATACAAACTTCAGTTTTCCTCAGAAGAAAAAGCAAGTACTTCTGTATTAAATGTGACACTTCATGTGACACATAACTTAATATTTTATCTTTGAAGACTTCTGAGAAAAGCAATAGAAAAGAATTGGATTTACAGTAAAAGTAGAAGCAGTACCATCGTCCCTGTTTCATCAGCAACCCAGTGATGAATATTTAATTATTAATGCAAAGTGAAATGGTGTCAAAAGGAGAGATTGAGATCACAACCCTGCAAAATTTCCTACAGCTTGATTATTAGGTCATCATCTTGGCAGTCAGGAGATTCTGCTGCAAGCCCCACAAAGAAGAGAAGGGAATTGAATCAAGGCTTTCTCATTTATGGGAAAGTACCTCTGCCCTAAATAGGAGGCGGAATAATTCTACCACCTTTTCATTTTGTATTATGGGAATAGCAACCTATGATGCAACAATACAGTTTTCATCAGACACAATATCATACCCACTGTTTTCAAGTACTCTGCATTAAGCCAAACATACAGTTTTTGCTTGCATCTACTGACCCTCTGGAGAACTAGGAATGCAGCATATAGCAAAGACATAAGTTACACAAATAAACAATCTAGCAAGATTAAAGGTTTAACAAAGTTGTATCTTTGCATTTGAGTCAGTAAAGGACAATTAAATTCCTTGCCAGTATCCTTTTTTTTTTTAATAGGTGTAAAATTTCAACACCATTTTACTTCCAGATCGCTCTTCTCTTTTACTTATTTTTCCTTCATTTATGAAGGACGTAGAGTATTCAGTATTTATGCAAGTAGGACTTTTCCTCCTGTCAGACCTCTGCTTATCTGATCCAGTTCAGCAGACAAATTGAACCTGGAAGCCTCCATTTCTTTGGGAAAAGGTGACAGACTGTACCTGCCCTGTTCTGACTTGAAGCTTTAGGACCTTTAGAGAGTGCCCCACTTGAAGTGGCAGGGTTTTGTCAAGAGTAGGGCTCTGCCTCTGCCAAAGGCACCGTATGGCCTGCCAGTTGGGAAAGAGACCACTACTAAAGTCATTCTGGCAGTCAGCAGGTCATTTAATTTCGGTTAAAAATGTTTTGAAAAGCATTTCTGGACTTGAAAGATGGCACCACGGAACTCCATGTCAGACAAGAGTGATACATAGGTAAAAATAGACCGATTGTGCTAAATAACATCCAGCCTCAATTCCTGATTAATGTATACATTAACAAATCTAATACAGCCTAATTTATTCTTGCTTTTACAAGGTTGTTTTTCACCCAGAAATAACATTTTAATGCCCATCACCATTGATATACAACAGGAAGAGAGTCCTTTCTGCTCTATGTTGGCTGCATTGGCTGCTTTCATAGAAACTGAGTGGAATGAAAACTCCCCAAATGAACAAGCCTAAGTTCTGAATATATACACCAGAATTTCTCTGCTTAGTGCAAGAAATACAATGAAAGGGACTTAGAATAATTTCTAGGGTTTCTAATACAACAAAAATGGAAAATCAGCTTTAATTTTACCTTGCCATAGTTTTTAAGCAAGGCAATTTGTTGTTTTTTTCTATTCACTAATTTTATGCAGAACCCAGCTGAGAAACAGTATTTATTTATTGTGTTACAAGTTTCCTATAGTAAAAGGTAGGGTTTGAGTAAAAAATAAAACAAAAATCTCTAACACAATTCAGTGGATTTTTTAAAAATATTTTTTAGAATATTTCCTATTCCAATTGCTTTTTCCGCAGTAAATCTCTTCCTAACATCATAACTAGAACTAGAATTATAAAGTGTCCTACATCATAGATTTTTAGTTTTTCACATTTTACAGAAATGAAAATGCTCCAAAAAGAAAAGCTTTATAAACTGCCTATGTCATTTACTTTCTGGATAAGGGTTTCCAAATTTTCATATGCCTTTGAAGAATAAATATTTTGGAAATTAGATTAGCCTGGAACTGTTTTTCAATTTGCATATGTATTTTCCTTTTCATATTGTCAGCTGGAGAGCAGACTAAACATCTGTCAAAGGATGTTTTCAAGAGTAGCCAGGGGATATCCTCCTTAACTTAAGCACTTATTTGTGGTGCTGAATTAGAAACCTAGTACCTTTTCACAGCCTAAGAAGTCAGAAAAGCATCTCCAGAAACTAATTCGGAAAATCTGATGAGGAAGGATCCACAGCTCCTGATTTAGTCACTTAGCTAAACTGACTGATGTAAGGGAGGTTTGAAACTGGGCCTTACGCTAGGATTCAGTCGTAAATTCTTAGAAAAATAATTTCGTAGTGGAAATAGGGACTATAAATTAAAGAAAGATGTGTTGTGTTTTTTATAATAACAAATAGGAGAGATTTCTGCTTTAAGAATAGAGACCAATTCAGCCTTAACTTCAGAACTGCAACCTGCTATCCCGTAAGACTTCCTATTCAAAATAGTGCTAGCTGGTATACATTCCACAACTAAAACATATATAATTGCCTCCCATTTTACATATATCGTCCTTTATAGGAGTAACAGCTCCTTCCTTCCCTTTCAGGAACACATTTACAAACTGATGAAAAGTGATTCTTATCCTCGTTTTATACGATCCAGTGCCTACCAGGAGCTGCTACAGGCCAAGAAAAAGGTATTGGTCCATCTTGCCTTTGTCTTGCCACTGTGCAAAGCAGTGGTTATGTTTGCAACAATACTCAGTCTTCTCTCCCCTGTGCCAGTGCAACTGGATATCTGGTAGGTGACCAGCTTGGCGTGTTTGGAGGGTCACATACACACAGGAGTTCAATATACATATATGTGTATATATCCTGCATGCGGGCATGTTTCAATAAGTTAATCTAGCAAAACTTATTTTTATTTTTACATCCCATATTGTACTGTTTTCTCTGTTATGAAGCACCTTAAATTGCAAAGTGCTTTACAAATACATTAAAAAAATAAAATAAAATCCCAGAAGAGTAGTCTTTCATGTTTGCAAGTTTACTTATGTAATAATTGTTGTTCTCTTTATTACACCTATAAAAGCTACAGAATGTGTTTAGAAACAATCTTATTCATATGAATAACTTCTAATTTAAACTATAAATATAGGGGCTTCCTAATTCTTCCTATTATTACATGAATAGAAGATTTTAGTAGGCTAGGAATCTGACTTGAAAGACTGATCATGTTACACTTCGGCAAATAGAGACTCATGTCTTGGTATGTAATATTTGCTTAGAAAAGTCCAGATTATGGAATGAATTCTGACTAGACACCACCCAGAGTATGTGGAGCAGCTTGTGCAATGTAGATTTCTATAATGATAAATAATTTTGTTAATGGGCTCTAAACAGTAATCTCCTAGAATCAGGTGGGAGCCCTGTGCCTTGCAAAATCAGGGCCCTGACCGTTACCAGAACAAGGTAGTTATTAACACCATAGCATTCTATTGTTTGTAATGACAACCTAAAATTATATGAAAGTACTGTGTGATTTTGTTTTTTGTTCAAACATTGATTTCTGAAGATCCAATATAGAGAGAGATGTTGAAAATACCAGAAAGCTACAACTGTCCGTGTGAAGTCCTTAAGTTTGTGAATGTCAGTTCATTAACACAAGATGTGCACTTCATTATTTCTTTTTATTTTCAGTTTTTCTTTTAAAGCAAATCAGTTTGATCCCCATGAAAAATTATTTTTGTCGAATACTGTATCTACTTTGCCCATCCCCTGTTTTGCAGAGTCCCATTACAGCTTCATACCTGTGTTTGCTTCCTGATTTATACAAACTTTGTTTTGCAGTCCATTGTTTCATCACTCCTTCTTTTCTACTCCATTTTTTTCTTGCTTTTCTTTTTCCCCTCCTTTTTCTTTCTGTTTCTTTTTTTTTTATTATTTTATTTTAAATTTAAGTTGGAAAACACTCTGGATCGTCGAACATCTTTTGAGAAATTCACACGCAATGTGGTAAGTTTGTTGCCTCGGAAGACTAGTAAACCTGATGGGACATCCTTCTCCCCTCCCCCTCACTGATCCCTACTTTCCCTTTTTGCTTCTCTAATGTGACAGTTAAAAGTGTATTCATCGCGGTTTGTGACTTTTCCTAGGAATGACAGCTTTATAATGTGCTTTCATTACAACCCCTCTTCCTGAGTCCCTTTCCCACTGACCTCAGTAGTCACACATGGAGGAATGGACCTTTGGGAGGCATGGTTTTTGCATTAAGAAGCATGAATTTATTCACTCTCTTTTTTTTTTCTTTTTTCCTTTTTTTTTTTTTTTTTTTTTAAATTGTAGTAAAGAATCTGTGAAAACCTGCTTGATGTTGTTCCTTTTTCTGGTGCCTCCCAAAACACTGAGTCTAACACAACTTGAATACATTGGATTTCCATCCTGTCTTCTATTTATTTTGCTGAAAAAGAGTTTGTCCCAATTTTTTTAATTGGGAACAGGGAAAAATAAACAATAATAATTTCCCCATCTTCCTTAATGTCTAGCACAGCTTCTTCAGGATCAAAGAATTCATGCTAATGATGCACAAGGGTTTGATTGGGATTTTATTTTGATAATGGACTACAAGAACTGATTATTTTTTTTTTTAATATATAGTTTTCGAAAGCTATTTCACGAAGGTAAAAAAATGAAGGCTGGTAAATTTACTGTGGGCATTCTCTTGCCACCTGCCAAAAGATCCACTGATTTCCTGATATGTGGGATTCTTTTTACTTATCCAGTTTCTTTGGATTTTTTTTTTAACATTGTGAAAGTTCAAACTAAAGCATTCAACGCATTTATTTTTGTAGGGCAGAAACATCCCTATTTTCCCATGCCATAAAAACTGTACACCAACACTGAGGGCGAGCACTAACCTGTTATGAAAAGAGGTAGAAAGATCTTGGATTATACTTGAGTTTGTCTGCATTGTCTGTTGAATTGTGCAGGTGATGCTGCTCTGTGTGTGTGTGTGCGTCCGTGGCTTTTTCTGTGACCTGGTTAGTGGATCTGCGTGTGTTGAAATGAAAAATATGAGAGCTTTCAGCAAAGATCATGGTTTTTGTTTTTTTAGTTCCCAGGGAAGGAGAAGCAGTTCCCAGAAACTGCTTCCCATATAATGAGGCTTAAGAGTATTTTCTCAAGTATTAAATATATATATATATACTTCCTAGTAATCCAAAAAAGAAACAAACACAGTGAAAGAACAAAGTTTTGTGAGGCTGTGAGAATATCTCACATGTTAAAACAAAACTGTAATTCTTTAACTACTTTCTTATAGGTAAAGGCTTCCTGTAATATGCTTTGAATCCACTGTAATCAGGAAGAAATTTGGATTCAATGGGACAAAGTCAGTAAAGGACTCTAAAAAGTAAATAAGCAGCCACGAAGGAAACTATCCCAATGTCTGAAACAAAAACCCCTATATTTTGCATGGTGATGTTGCCATAGCATGTTGCAGTGTGATTTGTGTGTTGTCTAAGCAGGTTGATCTATAAACCAACATTGTACATGATAACAATATACATGACAATTACATGATAATTCCATAGGAAGTTCCATATTGATATAAGAGCCTATGTTAATAAAACAGAGTGTGGACAGTAGGTAGAACATCTGGGACCTCTGAGAGCCAAGCTTTTCCCCAGTCACAGTGCCTGGCAAGGTGCAATAATTACATTTATTCACAGGAGTTTAAACATCTCACAGATCAGGAATTGGTTATGGTAAAGAGGATGTAAACAGGTGGCTATAAGGAGAGAAATAGCAAGCTGCAGACAGATGTGAGGAGAATACAGCCCAAAAAGGGAAAAAGTGAAGACAGACCGGGAGGCACTAAGACGAGTTTGCGATAATCCTTCTCAGAGCAGCGTTACTGATAAACCAGCAGTCCTCTGCACAAACACTGGAGCAGGCATCCCTGCAAGGATGCTCGATTTTCATCGTGCTAATCTCAGGGCAGAAGAACCAGAGTAGCAGGATACCAGAGAGGCAAGGCAAGCCCAATAAACCAGCTGTGAGCTAGAAATGGGAATGAGGATTTCTGGATGTGAAGCGTTAGGACTTCTTCAGTAGAAGAGGGCAATTCTTTTTTCACAGAGGAAGCTATAAATAAAAACTGTGGTTTTGCTTTTCCTCAGTCTACTACCTGTGAATCCGGGTGGAGTCTGTCAAGTCAGGTCCGGTATGAAAGTAAAACGTGCCACTGCTAGATCTATATTCTCTATTAGATCGGTAGCTCTGAGGCTTGCAAATTAATCCACAATGTCAGGATTCTCAAGTGCAAACCTTTTCACCAAGATGACTGAATTCACATCACCCACTGCTCCAGGACCCCTTGCCACCAGACATCCTTGTTCTTCCATTCTTGTTCTCAGTTATGATGACTTTATAATATGTAATTATCTACCTCGGTACAGTGGTTCCAACCAGCAGGGATGAGGGAGACGTTTCTCAGAATATCCTACAACATACTGATTAACTTGTTCAACTGTGAAATGAGGGACTGTGGTATAGATCTGTTCTTCTGATTAATACAGAAAATAAGTGTGAAAAAAGTCTTCTACATCCTGAATAAATGCTGTCGTCTCTGAATGATTTAGTAAGACAAAAATTACAGATTCTCTTTTCCTATGATGGTTTAGAAAATTTAGAGTAATTTTCACTTTTTTTTTTTTTCTCAGTTATATCAAAGTGGATTTATATTGAACTAAATTAGACCTCAGTTTTTTCCATTTGAAGTATTTAAAAAAACCCAATAACCTTGGATGTGTCTAGGGACTGAACCTGAGAAGCTGACCTTGTAATTCATAACCTGATTTGTTAAGACAGAGACTATAAGAGGCTCCTGATCAGTGATGATTGAAAGTGGGTTATACTTCTACAGAAAGCATTTGTTAAACCAGAAAGTTTAGAAACTTTGTAAGGGCAATATCTCTGTGCTATTCCTTGAATTACATGTAAATAATCTAATACAATCAGCCGTTATTCTAGTCTGATGGGTTAAAAATAAAAGTGGAGCTATATACTCTAAAAACCTCAGCTCTGCATTTCTTTGACATTGGAAAGTTTTCTTTCTAGAAAACTTCCAGTGAGTTAGTGAACTTTATGAAAGCCCTAAATGCGCAGCTTAAAAGCTTTGTCTATTTAGCTTGCTCTGTAGATTATATAGTGCAAAATTAGTAATGCCTTTGGCAGTCTGCAACAGGCAATATGAATAGTTTTAGAAACAAGTCTGTATTAATGTGCAATATAGAGAAAGTAATAGCAAACTGGCATTTGCTATATATAATATTTATCACCGAACACTTTATAGTTTACTTCTGAGTACTAAGTACAGTTATTCCTGGTTTGCCTCACTTATTCACACTCCTGGGTATTGTGTAAAAACATAGAGCACATACACTTCAGTACTACTGGAATGATGCCATGAGGTATGTGCATTGCCTTGGAGTAACACCACCAACCATGAGTATCACAGCTTTGACTCAGAGGAATGAGGAGCGGTGATGATGTTCTCTGTGCTCCCCCTGGCCAGCTCATCCCTGCAGGTTACTATTTGGGAATAATTAAGGTGTAGTGACCTCCAGTTCCCAGGGAAGTGAGTAGGGAAGCTAAAGGTGTAAATCAGGGAGCAGGAGAATCTCATTGGTTACTACAGTAGTAGAGAGAGGGAAATCAGCTGTTTCTGTGGCATTTAAAAATGGAAATTCTTTTGAGGAATTTGCATGGGAAAAAAAATCCATATTAAAAAAAAAAAAAAAAGACATTAAAAAAATCAGGACACTTCCTCTACCTCAAATAGTAACATCCACATTACAGAGAGAAAAACAGGTGAATATGCACTGATAATGTTGATGGGAACAAAGAGGTCCTTTAAGGAAAACTTTTGTCCTTAATTTCTCGTGTGCATGCAGGATTTGCGACAGTGGCAGACTGGTAGTCTGAGCAGGACACTTTTGTGAGCGCTAGCCTGGTACTTAGCTGTGATCACCAGTCTGGAAGCCTGAAACAAAGGGATCTCATTTACAATGAAATGGGCTAATTTCATTTCCACCCCATGCAAATTTTCTTGTCCCACTAGGAACCAAGTTAGCAGGGCAAGAAGGTGCAGTCTCCTCCTCAGAGCTGCCTAGGGGGAGACACTCCATCATCACATGTTGGTGTCATGGCTTCAGACACCACTGTTAGGGTTTCATCCGTTGCTGCCCAATTATAGAGAAGGCAAAAAAATGTGCTCATTGCAAGCATGTGATGTTTTATGGAAATACAGCCAGTACAAAATAGACCAAAGTCAGTTCCTATATTAAACTACAGAGCTATCAGATGATCATTCTCTTCACTCATAACCTCATAAACAAGACCCCATTTAATAACTGAGTATAAAACCATTAGATCTTACATTACCCATACAGTTTCCAGCTGTCTTCTCCCACTTAGCTGGAAGAACTTGCTGACCAGAGTCCTTTGATATTTTCCCCCTCCAAACCAGTAACATCAGACCATTTCATGCATGAGATGTGAAGGCCATTGAACACAGCACATTTTCACAGAGGCTCAGTCCAATGTCACGTTACATGACATAACAAATTATGGTCTAGAGATGGAAATTAAAACTCATAAAAATAGCTTCTTCAGTTCTTATCAGTGGGGGATAGACTTTCTAGATGCTTAAACCAGTGTAACCTCTTGTATTGTTAAAATCTGACCCTTTATTGAGAAACAAGGCAGATGATAAGATATCCATTTCATCTGTTAATCAAAAAATTTTCCTGTATGAACAGGTAAAACTTGTGGACACAATGCCAGACCAAAAGCCCATCTAGCCCTGAAATCCTGCCAAGGGCTGTATTTTTCTCAAGCATAGCATTAAGAATGAGTTTCAGTGCAGTATCAGCTGTGGGATCTTACATTCAATGTACAGTCATGGAAGTAATCCTAATTAGACTTTTGAATTTACTGATAGGTTATTCCTGAAATTTAAATGAAAAAATAGCTAGTCAGAAATAAAAAATCGCAAAGCTTCTTATTTGACAAATACAGAACAACAATAAAAATAATAAGTATTTGTAGAAATGAAAGCCTTTTCCATTTCAGGAAAGAGATGGCTTATTGATGTTTGACTAATAAGAACGGATGAAATGACTGAAATTTTTAGTTTGGACTAATAAGTAATCCAAAAATCTAGTTTTAGGGTTTTTTTTAGGAATGATGCCCAGGCTAATGAGGAAAATCAAAAAGAGCATCTGTAGGACATGCCAGTGAGGACTGCCCTCCTTGTACTGCTCTGCAGTGACGGGTGCTAAGCTCTGTGCTGGAAGAGGAATGCTGAGGAGTAGCACTTGCACAGCCAAGTTCATCTAAGTGAGGAGCCAGCGTGTACTGTTCAGGTATTAGATCAGTGTCTGCCGTTTCCCAAGTGACAAACATTTACCTGAGCCTTAAGCTATTCCCAGGAATGAGAACTGTACAGAGACAGAGAAACCTAAAGGGTCAGACCTAGGACAAACATACGAAAAATATTTGTCTAGTGCATTGGTGCCTTGGAAAATCTTATGCGTTACCCCACACTTCAGATGGTTATCAAGTTCAAACTGCCTGATCCAGCAAAAGTTTGTAGGCTAATCACTAATGAGAGCAGCTCATCAGTAAACGTAAAGATTAGTGCAAAAGGAGAAAGAAATCGAGAGTGCCACCCAGTTTGGAATGAGCCAAAATAGGAACGCCGTCACTCAGCCTCTGCCTCCCATCTGTGGACAGCTCCAGGACACGGTACGGCCCTAACGAGAAATGAACAGAGGACCGCAAATCCCCTCAGTGGGCAGAAGGATTTTCCTGCACATGCAACCACTTAGTGCTGCAGCTGTGCTAACAACTCATGCCCCAAGTTCAGTAAATGCTAACTTCCTCACATGTCTGAAAGAGAAGTACACCTGCATGGCTGGCTGAGGGCAGCCTCACAAATAGCTTAACCAAAGGCAAAAATAAGTCTATGCTCACTGTTTTCTGAGATTATGTCCAAGGCTGACAATCATGAATCACCTAACAAAACACTGAATTTTGGACATGCTGTTTTAAATTGTATTCCAGTGCCACGTAGCTGTTGAGACTTTTTTGACTCTTTAAAAAGAAGAGTCGTCTTACTATAACAGCTTACCTGTTACATTAGAGGAAAACATAATTTAAGGCTTAACAAATGTCAAAAAGCTTTGAATTTAATGTAGGTAGAAAGTGACAGAGTTAAAGCTAGACGCAAAGAAGACAGTGTGCCAGGAAGGACACTTTCTGTCTTTTGAAGAAGCAAGTATTAATACTGTCAGGTGATATGGTGAATCTGATGGATGAGCAGTCTAACCCAGCACTGCAGATCATGAGTTCCCTTCCAAATTATATTGTAGGAGAAATATTCATCCTAGTTCGTTCAACTTGTATTTCAGAGGACAAGGAATAAAATAGTTATTCTTCCTTTTGCGAAGACCCACTCTGATATATTGCATTTGAGCAAATACTCAAAACCAACTTGCAGATACCTATGGGCATAAATTTATTTGATAATGACAATAGAGATTAAATTGTGTAATTCCACTGAGTTATAATACAGTAGATGACTTAACAAATCATTGATATGGCATAATAAGTTCATTTACCGCAGAAAATGTAGCATCTCTCTATAGTTACAGTATTTCTTACGGTAGTCTCCTTGAAATCAGTTTGATTTTTCAGAGTTGTGCACTTAAAATGAACAACATAATAAATGTAAGTATTAAATATCTAACTGGAGAGTTAGAGCCACTTTCTATTTCATGTTTTATGATCTATTTGGTGTTGTATTGTCAGGGTATGCCTATGGTATTTTGAGGAGTGATGTAAGCTTGCTGTGCCAGCACCTCTTCTGTTGGATCAGAGCCATGGTAGGAGGGTCCCAGGAGAGTTAACTCCTTTTATGTGGCCTTAGGAGAGCTAATTCCTGTTATGTGGTTTCATGGCTTTTGTCTGGCTCAGATAAAGCTCAAATCTGCCTGAAACATACCGTGGTGACCTACCCTACACCATCCTCTTCCCGCTGTAGACCTAGCTCTTGTGGGACAGCCGTTATACTTTATTAAAAGAACTTGCTAAAAAACTGAAACTGCATCCTTGCAACAGTAGGAATGATGAGAAAATAACAATGTGGAAATCCAAACACCTTCAAAGCAGTGTTATGCAGTCAGATGTAGTATACCTGACCGATGTTCCTTATAAATAGTAAATACAGTCTCAGCAAACCAATAGCTGCGTTCATGAAAAAGCCGCTTTCCTGCCTGTATGCAATCTGCCTCTGACTTTCTTACCTTAACTTTAAAGTAGCTTTTGTCTTTTGTGGCAGAGCTACCACAGCTTGCACATTCATCTTTGTAGCACAAGCCACTCTCTCTTGTAGTAGCCCTCTTCAAGTTCCAGGTATGACTGACAGCAAAAACCTCAGCATTAGTTTCTCATCAGCCATAACCAATCTCATTCAAAAATGGCCTTTAAATGTGCTGGCTTATTCTGTGAAACAACCTAGCTGGCTGGCAGTGCAGGTGTTTAAGCCTAAGGACTTCCTGTGGTTTAAGATTTGACAGACTCCAGTTGGTGCCCCTAGTTATTTGACAGTGATGTGGCAACACTAAGTGGTTGCTGATGAACAGGTTTGCAGTGATCATGCTTCTGTTTTCTGTTTTTGTTTTTTTGTTTTTATCTTTTCCTCAGGGGAAATCGCTCACATCAAAGAGGTTAACCAGTCTAGTGCAGTCCTACTAAAAGGATCACCTTGTAGCATGGAAGCAGACTCAAATCATTATACATACTTTGTAGCTCACTGATTGCCTGACTCAGAGGACAGTAGAACAAGATGTTGCATGAGCAAGGACCTGACTTGTTTTCTTTTGTGTATACTAAGGCATTACAGACTCCGAGGGACTCTCTAGCCTTTCGATGCCTCCATTTCGAAAACTGTCTGCTCACTTCCTCCTTCATATCAAGCTGGATCTGTGTCTTTTTTATTTTCTGCAAGCTCAAGTACAGTGAAAAAAAAGCTTCTGCTAGGCACAGTTTATTAAAAAATACGTCAATCAAAAACTGGAAGAAATGTAAAAAATGCATATATTAATAAATATACATATGGCATCACATTTATTGCACAATAAATTAGCACAGAAGGTTTCATTTCACTGATGTATTCACATTGAGAAAGAAAGCCTGTGTCTTTGTCTGTTGTCTGTATATTCTCTGTTAATGTTTCTTGCATTTATTTTTATACCATATTTAAAAAAGAACACCTTTTACTCCAGATGTATTAAAGCTGATCCTTTCTCTGTAAATTTGTGTATGTTTATATTGTTGTTTTATCTTTCATTAAAAGATGCAGAATCTCTTTCCTTTGGGAAGTTTGAGATTTTAATATTGAATCTGAAGATTAGTCAAGAACAAAATCATCCCTCAAAGTTACACACCTTGTGCTTTCTAAAAAGTGACATGAAATGGCATTTTCTTTCTCTCAGTGACACCTAATCCAATACACTTTCTTGATAATCATTTACTTTTTCTTTTCTTTTTATCAAGTTAGCAGCAGAGAGCCTTTCCAGCTTGCTCATCATCACATAAGCAAACCTTTCTTTAAGCTAGACTCGTTCTGGAATAGTGCAGTCTGCACAGCGATTCAGTCGCTACCCAAGACTGGATCGACTGAAATACATTTCCTTAGGAATGGACATGAAGAAAGCTGGTTGAGAACACAAGTGTTTACTTGCTAAGTAGGAAGGACTGTGTTTCTTTCGTTTCTTTCTCCTTGCTGCCACTTTTGGTACATTTTAAGCTGCAAAGGTAGTGGTTTGGGAGTGCTAAGTATACTGTCTGTAGAGCAAACCTTGGGTAGTAACACAGGAGGCTGTCATTTTAATTCAAGGTGTGCTCTTGTATGTCTGCTGCTGAGGTTTATTCATGCAGAGACCTATTGACAGGTTTATGAGAGGATGTAGACACTGCCCGTCAGACAGCAGATACGGTGCTTCTGAAGCTAAACTGAGCTGGAACCAGAAATCTCTGCTTGGCCTAAGAAACAGCACTTTTGACTGATAGAGATGACGTAAGGATAGTAGGTAGAATCTCTTAGTAGAAAAGCAATGATGGGAACTAAGTCAAACGACAAAATGCTGATACCTCCAGGGCATCGTAGGGTGCATAGAATGAGCAAGCCTTTTTAGCAATAGGCTCAGGACAGCCAACTCTAGTACCATCTGTCATACTGACTTAGGTTTGATATTGAGAAACAGCTCTCTTGTTTCAAAGAGACTACCAGACCTAAAAACACACACCCTCACACACACACACACACACACACAAAGTGGGACAGTCATAGACACAATCAGACAATAAATAGGAATGCATTAATGCTAGAGTCACCTCATTTAACGTCAGATACCTACCCGAGTTGTTGCTGCTAGGGACATGGCAGCTGTGGGCAGAAGGGAGCTGAGTTCCCTCAGGTGAGGAGTGCTTGCTTCTCCACGGGCTCTCTCAGTAGCCTGGTACAGCCATAGCCCTGACTGGTGCATCTCTAAAGACGTAGTTTGAATGAACCCAGGACAAAATGCATTATAATTCACCACGAATGACTATTCTGCAGGTTTTGCTTGGTTGGGGTTTCTGGAGGTTTGGGATTTTTGTTTGTTCTTTGTTTTCAAATGCCACTGTGTTTCTGGTTTCTAGCTAGGGTGTTAATCACTGCTTTAAAGTGTCTCAGTTTTTGTTAGCACAGTTCTACCAAGCTTTTATCAGAAAATACTGGAAATGCCCCATGAGCGCTTGATTTTATCAAGAGCTCCATCTAGGTCAACTCAAAGTATCCACAGTCTAGGGAAGCCAGATGAATTTTAATAAAAAGCCACATTGAACCCCAGATCTTAAACTCTGAGATTTAATTTTCTCTTACCACAGAAATGTGAGCTCTGAGGCATGAACTTGGGGCCAGGCAATCCACAGAAATTTGAGCTCTGTTTCACTTCTCAGTGCCAAATAGAGATATTTATTTCCAAACTCCTGCTGCCACCAATTGCATCAGCTGGTAGATCGCCTGCTTTGCCGTAGGCATTAACTTTAGATACCAGTGTCTGCTTTAAAGTATGACTCCCTTCAATTAATTAATGCTTCAAATTCATGCGTTAAGTATTTCATGCAACTTTACCTTAAGAAATATAATTTTATTTTCCAAATCACTTCGCAACACCAACTGGCCAATAACAAGGTGTGGAGCATTTGTATTCCTGAACCCATTTTGTACTTATTCTAGTTCTTTCCTTTCAATAAATATGAAGTCTCTGTTGAATGGCTGTCTTTCCCTGTATTTCCACAGGATTTAGCACCGTGTCTGTAAAGTAAAAATCTGCATTACTAATAAGGATTTCAGGGTAGTTGGAGCTGTACTAAGGTTTCATTTGAGCTTAGTTTCAAGTGATACAACTCCACTGTTACACATGAGTGAATTTGGCCCAAACAAAATCTATCCTACAACCAGTTGATTTTTAAAGAGTTTGTCAGCAATCTTTTGATACTTCATCTGATCACTGTTATCTGTCAGTGATACAATACTGGGACTAGAAAGCCCAAGTAGGCACAAACTTCGTTTTACTTCCCCACGGAGAAAACTAAATGTCTGTTTCCAAATTTATATGAAGATCTACTTCCAAGAATTAACTCAGATTAAGGCATGTTTGTACAGCCACCAAACAACTGAAGTATGACTTTCATTATGCAACGATATATGTGTTAGGAGTTTCAGTGAAGCCACAAGTCTGCTGAGGAAAAAAGGACCAATAGAGAAACCCAATCTGAAGAGACCACACGCCTTGTCTCCTGGGGAAGAGTCATCAATCAGTGCCTCCTGGCTCTGCCCAGGAAGGTGAAAACACCCTCCATTGGGGGATATTAATTGTAGTATTCATTAAAATAACCACTTGGAGCTGGGAATTTCCATCTGGGAATGGAGATTCCTCAGACAGTCTCTTTCCTCATGCATCCTTGTGCATAAAACAGCTCTTAAAGCTACAGGGGAAAGAAGTATTTGCTTGTGCTGCTGCACTCTTGAGATGGTTTTGTGCTCCCAGACCAGTCTAGGAATGAAAATGGCTGGTGGGAGAGATGGGAACTTCCCTGGCACCTACCTGACAACAGCAAAATATTCATCTATTCTTCTGTAAGGTGCAATTAAAGACTCCTTCAAGCCTACAAAACCAAAGAGGGAGGAAAGAGGCCTTAAACAGTGACAAGAGAAATTGCAAAATGCTGAACTGAAACAGTAGTGGAAACCAGTCAAAAATTAATGATCTGCAGGTGAATACAGGAGTAAGAAATGGGAATTAATAGTGGTGACCAGAACAGAACCAACAAGGGAGGAGAACTGGGAAACTGAGTAGTTAAGAGAGGCTGAATGCAGCTGGTGGATTGCCAGCCTGTTGGCCATGGCCATGCAGAGTTGGACTCAAAATCCAAAAAATCAGACATGATCAACTGGCTGACCCTTTAAAACCCAACTATGGCATTTTTTCAGCTAGAAATACCAAATATCTAGAATTGCCTTTTTTTTTTTTTCAAATTGCACCCCTAATATTGTTTGAAATCATCAGACATAAATGCCAAATAGTCTCCCAAGAAATAACAAACAGGAGGGCAAAAATCAGTTCCAGAAAATGAGACCTATAGGAATACATTTAGGATGTTTATTTATTAAAAAAAAATAAAGCCAAAGCAGACAACTAAACTGAGGGGAGGCTGCTTTCTTTAGGTAACTGGAATGAGGAGTTGGGAATGACCAGTGATTTATTTGTGGCTCTTCCAATTATTTATCTTTATGCCAAGTGATTAACAACTGTTTAAATTTAGATTTTAAAATTATCATATTTTTAATGTCCCTTCTAGCTAGAGAAGTGCATAGAACTAACACTGGACTTATTAACTTAGGTGCATAAAACACAGGAATTTTGCTATAAGTAAGTTAATAGCTATAAAGACCTATACAAAAGAAGGTTTTAATCCCAAGATGTTCCAGGGAAATTATCAACAATTTCTTTGAACATATTCTGTATCCACAATTCATTTAAGCGAGTTACTAAGTGGTTGTGAATCATACCAATCTACCTTTTGATCTGACTGTGCTGAACAGATTAATGCTTTTGTCTCCTGTGAGTTGAAGATAGACTGAAGTCCCAACATCAAAGAGGCAGAGGGGAAGAGAGGATCATCTCTCTGAGGCCAGGCTCCCCCTCCTCCTGGAGTCCTCAAGTGACATGTGTACAAATAAAGGGGTTTTGTTTGTACAGACAGGCTGCAGAGTCTCTGCAGACAGTCATTATCTCTGTCACTATAAAACTTTTTTTTCTAGTGTCTAAACTAAATCTTCTTTGCTTCAATTTATCCCTTTATTTTTGACCAGGCTGCTACAATCACTATAATAAAATGTTCCCTACCTTTTTGCTCAAATACGTAAATCATAGAATCATAGACTGGTTTGGTTGGAAGGGACCATCCAGTTCCAAAGCCTCTGCCATGGGCAGGGACACCTTCCACCAGACCAGGTTGCTCAAAGCCCCATCCAACCTGGCCTTCAACACTTCCAGGGATGGGGACTGGCCATTGCAAAGTTCCAGCCTCCTTTGGTTTTCCTGCTGGTGTTTTGTGAAGTGTCAAGTGACTTCACAGCTCTTGTCTGGGCTAGTGGGTGTTACAGCTTTCTTGGAGGACAGTGCCCAGAGCAGGCTGCAAGGCTCCCACTCAGGTTTTACAGCTGGAGGGATTGCTGTTGTACTTCTGTCTGTTCACACAACTGTGGGGCTTGCCCTTTTTGCAGTAGCTGGCCACTACTGAATTGTGCCAGCTTATGTGGCATGGTGATGCCCAGATTCTTTGCAGTAAAACATAGATGGTTGTTCCTCTTTGTGTGTAGCTGACTCTTCTTGGGTCAGTGAGACATCTTCAGTTGTCCATTGAGTAGCATCCTCATTTTTCTGACCATCTTTCTCTTTTATCAAGGTTACTTTTCTTTTTTTATTCTAACCTGTGAAATACTTGTAGTCCTTTTATGTGCAGGTATTTTTATGCGGGGTGTGAGTGAGGAATTTGCTGGTCTGATTCTTTAACACAAAGCATGAATGAGAGTGAGTGCCATCATCACTATTTGCCATAAGGGATCTGTATGTGTAAACTGTTAAGAGAAATTGCCGTCACAATAAACTCTGAGAACCTCCTCAAATGCTAGATTATAGTCCTTATTTACAAGTGTGGACATGGACAGTAAATATCAAACAATATTAAGACACGATTGTAAATGTTACCTTGTTAGTGGCATTTGCACAATTTTTATTGTACTTTTTCTTCGATTCG